GACAGTTTCCCAGTGTGCCTCTAACAGAGAGCTGCCAGAGACACTTATGCTTTGGCTGCACTACAGGATTACAGTAGCTATGGGACAGAGCCCAGAGCTAGCCTTACGCAATGATGAAAAGACTAAAAATCTTCTATTTACTTTACTTCATGCGGCAGGGTAGAGATGGAGAGGTTGGGGCTGGCAGGAGGCTAGACGCTCCTACTGAGCAGCATACAGACTTACAGGTTTCCCTTTGTCATCACAGCTCCAAATAAGCCCAGACTGACAGGTAAGATCCACTGTGTGCTAGCGGAGTGTTTTTCACCACCGTTCCCGTGTCACACAGTTCAAGCTGCCAAGAATTAAACCAAACAGCGACAAACATTCTCTTACTCTAATCAACCAGTGAAGCTGCTAAATAGATAATGCAATCTGTGAAAGGCCTTTCCTTTAAAAAAAAAAAAAAGTTTTATTTTATTTTGGCAACACCTTTGGCGTGAAACAGTCATTACTGTGGTGTTTTCACACTGCACTTTCCAGAGGCCAGTCGACAGTCAGACTGAGGTGGGCGGTACTGTGACATCTTTTTCTTGAATCTCTTTGTCTGTTCAGCTGCTCATTCCAACTCTTCAGTTTGTCTCCTGGCGGGCAATGTTTCCCGTAATTTCAAAACAGAGTGGAAGAAGAGTGGAGCGGGAGAAAGGCAGCATCTATCGCTGACCGGTAACAAAACAGTGATTCAGTTAATCTCACCTTTGTATGAAGCTTGGCAATCTGTTTCTCGTCCACATTGGGCTGCCTGTAGACTCTGCTCTTGTAACGGAACTGTTGAGTGAAAGACAAATTATTAAAAACACAAATGGGTCCAACAAGGCTTCTGTTAAAGCTCTGTTCCAATAACTGATAACCTTTCCCTCAAAACGCTCAGAGTTGTTTACTTGACACCTCCGGGTGCATCGTGAAAGCAATTGTTCCTCCGGAAAGAGGATCGCTAGGGGATCAAGCCTAAGATGTGTCCTCTTTATTGATGGCACATTTCATTACTTTCATGGTATCTGGTTTACTGGCAGGCTGTGTGAAATATGAAATTACATCATCTTTTTGTGAAGCATGGGATTGTTTAATATAGAGAAGTAATAACATTTTCGTTGTCAATATTAATATAACATTTAACTAATATTATATCAATATTAATATTTGAGGTAATCCATTTAATTTATAATTTACTTGAACGTTACTTTACCCTCACAGTGTACAGTGTGGCTGTTACACTGTACCCTAACAGACAATCCCATCACAAAAACAAACGTATTTCTTTCCAGGCGTATGGCAGGAACGAAAATGGGAACAACAAGGCTGCCTGAGTTAGCTGAACTAAACACACCACTGATTTACCAAGACAGACAGAAAGACACGGGAGACCAGCACTGCTGCTCTTTCTCACATCGGACATGAAACACATTTGTGATGTATTTTATTAACTCTGCCAAACGTATTTGCCAACAAAATTGGAAACTATCACAAACATAAGTGTGAACGTTAACGCTTGACCTTGAAAATAGTAGTTTGAAAAAAAAAATCCCATCACGTGTTGATGTTTTTGCAGCTTTCAGCAAAATCTTCCTGAGCAAACTGAGTTTCTCAGTCAGTAAGTGGACCTCATGATGAATTTTCTTTTGTCAATTTAAAAACAGTAGTTCAGCTCACTATACTATACAGCTCATTACAAGTCAGCAAACTCAATCCACTGATGAAGACAGAGAGAAACTACTAAACTACAAACTACTATTTTCAAGGTCAAGAGTTAACATTCACACTTTTGTGATATTTTCCAATTTTGTTGGCAAAGACGTTTGGCAGAGTTAATAAAATACATCACAAATGTGTTTCATGTTCGACTCCAAGTAGCCTACCCCCATGTGAGAAAGAGCAGCAGTGCTGGTCTCCCGTGTCTTTCTGTCTGGACCCTGAGTTGGTTTGTCCCCTGATGCATCACCATCCAATAAAGCAGACGGAGTGAAGGTGCATACAATCTAAAACATCAGCAGTTAGACCCATGCCCTGAAACATGCAGCGATGCACTTAGAGAAACACCCCAACCTCAAAGCGTAACATCTGTATCTGCTTTTTCAAACCTAATTTAATAGTCTCAATACAGAAAGACATGGTGCCACTACGCACGCTCAAGAGGAAAGACTGAAACTGAAGAATGTCACTGACCCAAGACGCAAATATTTCACACTGCAGGATGTACACAGATTCATACAAGATTTTTGAATAATTTTGTTTGCATCTCAGAAATCCTTCATCATAGTTGAGACTCTAAATCTTCAATTGAAGAGTTTTGAAGTTAATTTGATGGACTGATACTGAAAGCCTTTTTCCAGCTCTAACGTTGAGACACTGTACTTTGAGTCCTGACTAATGACAAATATTAATTCTTCAATCATTTAGATTCCATCCCTACTAACTGGAGTAATGATCCAACTGGCCAACAGTTTACCTCCAAAGACGGGACACCCTTGCTGATTGGCTGGGGGTACTCTCGAAGGACGCGCTCTTCATCCAGGAACTTGCCGTCCCTCCCGTTGCTAGCTGGCTGGAAAAGCCCATAGTTGAGCACGTCTTTCAGGCTCTGATTAAGGGTACACAGGATCCGCTGCTTGGCAACCCAGACCGTCGCATCCGGGTTGAACCGCATGCATTTCTGGTTGGGTTTTGGGGGGGGGGAGTGGAAAAGAGACACTGATTACAAAGTGATGACTGGAGTGCTGGCTGGCAGTCACAGCAATCAACACAAATGAAGAATTAATCTTTTAAATAAAAGCATGTAATGTTATCAACTTGTGACAGACTTTTAACTTGTCAACTTTTGATTGACAGATGCTAATAGGCTGGGACGCAAGAGTGATAAGAGGATTTGAATACAATCACAAACAATGGTGCACAATCAAAATAGTTTAGACCCATCGAAATTGGTGCTTTAATTACACAAACCCTGCCCCAGTTACTACAAATAACCCCCGACCGCCACGCAGCACTGCCAAGCTTGTTGATTGTGTATTGTAGCCATGCTATTTGTTAAACAGGGCCAATTCGCCCGCTGAGGATGTAACTGACATGACCCCTCTGCCCCCTGGTCTTTCCAAGTTTCAGCATCCCTGGAGTGAAAAACAAACAAACAAACAATGGAACAAACAAACAATGCAGGACTTCTGGCCTCGCCTGAATCAGAGAGGATTATGGGCACTGTGCCGTGGCATTCAGGAAGTGTCTGCGAGTGTTTACAGCTGGATGTGCTGCTCAGCCGGCGATAGCAGCCCTGTGTCTGTGATAAAGGCTAAAGGGATGAGCAGTCTGTGAACTCTGCTTCACCATAATCCTCTCGCCTGGCGTTGAGTGGGTTGAGGAGAGGCGAGGAAGGGATGGCAAGATGAAGGGTTGAAGGTACAGTACAGAAACAGATGGCATCTGGCAGGCTGTTTGGACTGATATGGTCTTTTTTCCTTCTGCTGGTTTGTTACAGTGGCAAATTTCCATCTGCTCCCATTATTGCTGCCTCTTCAGCCCTTAACACAAGTTTAACTTAAACGATGTGTACAGGGCACTGGGGAGCGATCACTCTTGTGAACGCACCTGGCTACTTGCTGCTGCTGTCTGACTTGATGAAGGTTGAACTCGGTTCGATTGGCTGCTGTGGCTTCGCATATGACCATGTAGCGTTACTGAAAGCGCATAATCTTTTCAGTGTTCTCAAACCGGGGTCCAACAATTCAAAGCAACAATCTTTGGAAAAGTAGCTTGCTTGTCTAACCTCAAGTCCGCCATTGTGTCCAATCTTTGAATCTTTAGCAAGATAAGCGCTGAAAAGATGGGTCTCCATCTGGATGCAAGAGCGGTGTGCTAGGACGGGAGACGGCTGAAATACAGTGAGATAAAAGGCTTATTTGAAGAGGACAATTTAAAGATTGTAGAAGAAGCAAAGACGCAGAAAAGCATGTGGGAAAGAGGAAATGTTCTGTCTTTTTCTGTGATTTGTAGTGTTGGTATTTGTGTTGAAGAGAGGGCAAATGTTACAGCTGTTGTACCAGGCCTCATTATAACAATGGAGTATTTGGACATTGTGTGAAACATGCTTGTTCGCTTTCTCTCGCATTCCTTCAAAAGTTAGATGAGATGATTATAACCACTTTCAAGTCAATGCATTCGGAGCTGGAGCCAGGAGGTGGTTACCTTAGCTTACAATAAAGACTGGAAGCAGGAGGAAACAGCCAGTCTGGCTCTGTCAAACGTTCCCTCAAAACACCTTTAAAGCTTGCTTTAATTAACAAGTCCAGTTGACCCCTTAATTTACGACCTGGATGACTGAGAATGTTTACAGACATCTAGTTTAGGCCAAGAAATAGTTACAACACAACTGTTCTTATAATAGTTTATTTTTTAAACTGAGGACAGTCAGGCTAGCTGCTTCCCCCTGCTTCCAGTCTTTATGCTAAGCTATGCTAATCGCCGTCTGGCTCCAGCTCCAGCACGACAAGAGAGTGGTATTTATCTTCTCATCCAACCAGTGTGAGAACTTTACAATGGCTTTCAGGGGAGCTCACTTTTTTTAACGGGAGGAGGGCAGGGAGGTTAATAAAGGGTGTTAGGGGATGGATTAAAATCCCCAGAAAGGAGCCTTGCTGTCAGCATTAACAGCAGAAAACCCCCTCTCACACGCAGATGCGGTCAGTCAAAAGCTTTTCCAGCAAGTCACCTGGTGCTTTACGTGAACCACGGCGATTCAGCCCGCAGACGGAGCGAGACTCAGAGATCTTTGATTTAAGTGAGTGAAGGTTACGATACCGCACCGCCACGCTTCGATCGTGAGGACATGTCTTTATTAAAGTGAATAAGTGATGATTCACATTCATGCATCAATCATACATCTTCATCATGATCCCTGATGATAAAGTTACAGAAATATAGAATAGGCCGGGCTCACGTGCACCGGCTGTGTACATTTGAATTACTCAACAGAGTTTGATTTATTCAACCGAGTTTGATTTCCAAGCGGATCAAGTGGCACCACTGAGTGCTCAGTGATGAATGTCAAATCAGGAGCATGAGTGCATACATGTGAGAGAGCTTAGTGCACATGTGAACACACACACCTTTTGTGCTGGAGTTATAACCACTGTGCTAATTACATCAAAGGGTCACGGGTTCATCTCTGGATCAACACCGTAGCCCCAGGATCCAACCCTGCCTTTGCTTTATTCTGTTAAGATCCGCCATTCGGGAAGTTACAAAGTGCTTTGCAAAGCGGCTAGAAAGTGCGCCGAAGCCATGAGTTTATCAAATCAAACTGGACAAAATGGGAGGGAGAGTCAGAACGAAGAAGGGGAACTCAGGAGAGAAGGGCATCGGGTGGCTGCAGAAGGCAGAGCTTTGCCAACTTCCTGTTTCCCTGTCTTTCTTCTTCTGCCCTTCTGTTTTGTTCAGATGTTCACGATGAGAAAATGCTACAACTCACTGTACTGTCAATGACATCCAGTCTAAAGCTATCTGGCACGGTTCCCCTAGGACACGCACATCAAATGAAGAGCTCCAGTACAAAGCTGCATCGGCCCAAGATGAAACTACTGTACAGACTCTGGCAGCTACAGTTAGTCTTTGATGATAAACCTTTATATCCAAAGCTTTTCTGGGAATGACAGTAAAGCAAATACCACTGACAGCTACAGTTCACAATGCGGTGGAGAACATGCCCACAGAAGCTACAGTTAATTCAGAGGAACAACCTTTTATATTGTACTCACACCTGGGGCTTCATTAAAAGCAACAGTGTGCCGCATGTGTGAATGCATTGGGCTGCTTTTTTAAATTAAACATTCAAAATTCCTGTGAATTGAAAAAAAAATGAATACTAGATTCACAGATTCCACTGTCAAAGCTGTGATGTTATCCACAAACAAGTTTCGGGCATGACACAGGGTTTAAAAAGCAGAAAAATAAAGCAGAAGAAGTCGGATGTTAAATTGATTTTGGTTTTCTTGTTAACCTACACACGTCATCATAGCTTGCTTGTTTTCTACTTTAGTCGTTAGTTCAGTGAGGCTATAAGGCTTGAGCTCAGATACAAAGCTGAAACATGTTGCTCAAAGAAAAAAGTGAAATGGGAATAAAGGGAGGAAAAAAATAGCAAGCCCTCCCACTTTGCTCAGCATGTCCTTACACCTAAATGGCAGAATAGGTTGTTTGGCACTGACTCACGACACGGAAAGAATGATAAACTGTTTAACATTGTGAAACTGTCGCAGCTTGGTTAGATTTAGGCACCAAAACTACATGGGTAGGTTTAGGAAAAGGTCATGGTTTGGGTGAAAACAAGTAGGTTATGTTAGTATGTGATGTGACTTAACTTATGTATGTATATAAGTCTTCACAGGGACACGAACAGCAGCCTCATGGATCAGTGTTAGATCAGTCCATCCACCCAGTGCTCCTTCCTAAGCAGACTTTTTCTTTTTACTCTTTATACTATGTTAGAGCCGTAGAGGAAATATGGTTAATGCTTTGGATAATTCAAGTTATATTAATTGTCCTTTATGCGTTTCATTTAGTAATACTTTCATTTAGTTTGTCTGAGGCGGCTGTCATTAGTGTGTGTTTGGCAAATTATGATGCGTAGCTGTGCTCCGTTATTTTTTCCTGCAAACTCGGAGCTATTCATGTGTCGTAAAATGCAGCTAAGTGAAGTGAAAATGAGGTGAGAGCACCCACTGGCACGTGCACCACCTCACCTCGTCTTAACTACTTCGGCCTCTAGAGGATGCTGCAAAACAATAAACGTAAATATGGCTTGTGATCCGCTGCGTGCACAGGCGACCTGTACGGCCGTATTCTGAGACTCAGATGTAGCATGCTGGAACATGTTAATTAGAGGTGCTGCTAGGCAGATTTTCTTTCCATTGAACTGTTTTCCCTTGTTTCATCGGGCTAATGGGCTGCTGGATCGAGCTTTTTAGATGAGCCATATAAGAGTGGATTTGTCTTCTCGTATAACCCCTCACCAGACAGTGAAAGTGTATTTCCCAAAATGTCAAACTTTTGCTTTCAGTTCAGGAATACTGCAGATTTACTGCAGCGAGTTCACCTAGTGTATTTCATAATATGTGGGCAAACTAAAACGGTAGTTTTCCAGTGATGCATTTTGTGTATGTATGAGGTCTGGACCTAAGAATAACATTCATTATGCATTCTTTGCTTTCTGTTATTAATCTACCTGCCACTCATTTACATATTAATGGAAAACTGCGGGACAATTATAACGTGTTTCATCAGTCACTTCCTTTTTCATCTGGGCTTCCACATCTTTATCCTGTCTTGTGCTAACTGCACCATAATGTTCCACTACACAGCCAGCTTTAGTGTTCTGAAGGCCAGCGCTAATCTTGATATATTCTAATGATCAATAGAGTGGGCCCCATCTTATATTATTCATCAGTTCATCATTAATACAACCCCCACTTTAAAATCACACACCCCACCTACGCTCAACCAGCTACCTGCCCACTCAACATTCAAACACCACCGCATGTTATTACAGAAAATATGAAGTGAATCTTGTTCGTCAGAGCTCATTTAAGTCAAAGGATTTACGTCAAAACGGAAATTAGGCTTGTTACAGAAATATTTCACTATTTAAAAACCACAGGCAGCTCATTCATATGCAGGATTTCTCTGAAAGCATGCATATGATTAATCTGTGTACATAGATGGATGTGATAAGGACATGTTACAACATAAAATACATCTTTAAGATTAAATTATAGAGGTCATATTATGCTTTTTTGTTGTGTTATACATCTTTTATGTGCAGGTAATAGGCCACCCCAAAGGGAGCTACCATCTCCCACAGAACACACTGGTCCTGAACTGCCTGTAAACACCTCAGTTGTAGCCTTTTCTTCAGTGACCTGTCTGCGTCACTATGTAACACGCATCCTAATGCTCGCCTAGCGGCTAGTGTGGGACGCCTAAACATGAAGTCAAAATAACGTTAGATACCCTCCAGGCAGTCAAAGGACATAACATACTGTGATGCTATGAAAGATAAATTTGTGACTAATGAATAACTTCCCACTCTGAAACTCTTGCTCCAGTCTAGGTTACAAATCTGGTTTGGGTTCTGCCTGTGTTCCAGGATCAGACTCGGGCTTGAATATGTACGGCTGACAGGCAGGTTAGAGACTTCATCCTGTCAGTTTGTCTCTTTAGTATGAAGAGAGGCTGTGAAGTCTTCATGTTACAACATTATTTATCAAACCGGGTCGACTGGATAGATTTAGCACGAGGAGGAAACACATGTGACAACGTCCGGTTTTCAAAATAAGGCGTCTGTATAGGATGATATAGGAAATAGGACTAATTGGATTATATTTACAGAAAATATAAAACATATGAAATGTGTCCATTAAAAGTCAAAAACCACAAGAGGGTCCGAGGTCCACCCACCATAGATAAACCCTTGTTGTAGTTGAGTGGAGAGTATATGGGATCATATGTGGGTCATTGTATTAACCTTTAACATCTGGAAAAGTTTGTTTGCGCTCACATTCCACTTTTTGGACATTTTTTAGATATACCTGTTTGTTTAATGCATGCTGAACATAATAATAACCCACAGCTGAAATGCTGCAGAGGCCCCTGCTGTATGAGTGGCTCTCCAGCAGCTCTAATAAAGCCAACAATGCTGTGTTGCGCTTGAATTTACTGTGTACCAGCTTCCAATAAAAGCTCTTTGACTGTAAATAAGGCTATAAGGTGTCAAATACACAGTCATTAATTCTCCAGTGGATCTCAACAACGAGGCTGGAAAATCAATACTCAAATGTCAATATTGAAAAACAAATCTAGTTCATATTTCATATCGCCTCCACATATCTGTCCTCATCGTTCACAGATAATTACCGTCTGCTGCAGGTCGGGGATGAGGACACGGATGACCAGCGTGTTTATGTGAATGTCGTCCATGTGGTTCTGAGGTGGCTCGGCGGTGGCCTTTATGGTCTCGTAAATGGTCTCTTCGCGGGAGCTGTCAGAGGCACAGTCGTCGGAGTAGTCGGAAAAGCTCTGGGCCATCTCATCCTCACTAGAAGTGGGGCTCCGGGGCATAGTCAGCAGGCCCGGCGGATTCTGCTGGGACAGACAAGGAGGGGAAAAAGGTCAGACTCACACGAACTCAAAGTGTTCATTAGAGAGAGCAGGCATTAAAATTTAAGAATTTGCCTTGCTCCCATTAGACACCTTTTGTCGCATTAGAAACCCCCAGAGATGGTGCTTGTTAGATTGTTAGTTTATCCTCATCCATTCTGTGCTCGCAGCCTGCACAGTCTGCTTCAGCAAACTCCCACAGGAATTAATGTGACTGCATCTTCACAAAAAGGTTTTGCTTCATTAAGGTTATATAGTATGGGAGTAAAAAAACTGCACATGCAAGCAACTGTATATGACCAAAGGCCCGACTCCCAAAAATGTAGCAGGCCAGGTGACTGTACTCTAATAAGATGAGGCATGGACATGATTTATGGACCAGCAAATGAAACGTATAACGTCTCATCGGTCACTGCTTGTGGCCATGCTCTCGTGACTGACTTGAATAAAATTAAGACATTTCAAATTACCTGAATATCTAATCATTTGCATCTTAAACTACACTTGGTTTCCTTTATTAGAGGTTAGTGTGCAGAAACTCGAGGATTGAAAATCATTAATTAATTAAATATCAACAAGAAATATCATTTAGCATTGCAACCAGCAGTTCAGCGTGTGCCTCGGATGGTCCCATTTCCTGCGTTGTGAAGTCATTCTTCGACTTCAGTGTGTTTTCATGTGCTCTTAAGTCAGAACGTGGAATCAACACGGACGCTGCTACAAAGATGTGTTGGATTAACATTATCTGAGCAGAAGAACAACACGAAGACATCTAGTTCACTCTGCATGGACAGCAATCTAACTGTTACAACCAGATTACACGACATGTTTGCAAAATATGTATATGCAACACATGATTTTGCACAAATCAAAGTCAATCAGTCCGTTTGGGCTACTGTAGAATCACAGCGGCGCAACATGGCGACATCCACGTAAGGGGACCTGCGGTGTACGTAGACAGAAATGGCTCAGTCTAAGGTAATAAAAACATAACGGTTCATTATGTAGTTATGGATATTTTATTGCATTTCTGTCAGTAGATCCTCCTAAATATTACACACTGAACCTTTAAAGAGTGAAAAGTGAAATGAAAGCTCTCTGTAAAGGTTCTCAGTCATCCAGGTCACAGTTATACAAGAAGGTTAAAATCAAGGGCAACTAGAACTGGTTCAAGACACTTGAAATGAAACGGCAGTGTTGCGACATTTCAGACTAAAAACTCCAAATGGAAAACAACTGCACAGTGCGACCATGGCTCCGTAAGTAAATGTCCTGTTCATTTTCTGCACAGATGTTCGTTGTGAGAGGCAGTTGGAGCAGTTCCACATCCTGGAGGGATGATAAATATGGTCAATATGAGCAACTGTATTAGAAGTGATCTGGTTCTTTGAAAAAAAGTCAAAAGGAAGTCAAATACGACTCCCCAAGAAGTATTACAGTAATAAAACATCCAATCACAGAGCTTCAAATTCTACTCCGTGTGTTGCTAACGGCAAGCTGAGGCTAAAGATTACACTTTGAAGAAATGCTGCTTTCTGGTTATCTGTTCAATTGAGTTCAGGAACTATGTTGCAGCGTTTTGTTCCCAAACAACAACAAAGTGCTCTGAATTTGCTTCAGTTCTGACACCTCTGACAGGCCTCTTCTTGATAAAAGGGTCCATTCTATCAAAGCCAAACTGATGGGGGGCAAAAAAAAAAAAACACGATTTCTTAGAAACTTACTGAAACTGACGGCCACAACATAAACGTATAGTACTGTCAAATCGCTCAGGGATTTGATTGCTCTGAGGTGACTCAGTGATGCTGAACTTGATACAACCATTTATTCTTGTTTAAAGGACTGTTCACTTCCACTGTGACAACAGAAATGACATTGATTAGACACAGCCGGAAAGGAGGAGCTGGGGTGGTGACGGGTTGCAAAGCGGCTTGCAGATGAAGCAGCACGGGCAGGCAGGCTAAAGCAACTTAAATAAGGCGCCTTGTATGGAGAGGGGTGGTGATGGAGCAGTGGATAAGACACATGCCTTTGGTGTGAGAGACCCAGGTTTAATTCCCCATTGTGACACATACACCAATGTCCCTGAGCAAGACACTTGTGTTGTTGATTTGAATAATTAAGTAAATCAGTTTAAGCTGTACATAAAACAATGCTAAAGACTATTTACAGTGTTATGGTGGTTACCATACATGTGACCCATCGTAAAAGGTCTGGTAATGCTAATTATTCATTGTTAAAATGGAGAATACATTGAGACAATGCTTTGTTTCAAGCGATAGACTGAGATGCTTTTATTTTGACAGGGAAGCTTTAATTTTGAAGTTCCAAGGAAGTAGCTGCTCTATGTTTTGTTGCTAGCTTCAGCAGAAAAAAAAAAAAGTGTGTCTCGTTTGCAGCAGTTGTTTTTCCCCTCGTCTGTAAAATGCAGCCGTGGAGAATAAACGTTGAGTTTGAACGACACCCGTTCTGGTCATTAAGAGGAAGCTTTCACTACACAACAACCCCCAGCTGCTCCAGAGGCGTGCGATCTCTGACATATATAGGAATCAGCTGAGCTTGAAACCGTCTGATATCAGCTGATGGGAGGAGGAAGGAAGCACAAAATAAACTTTGTGCCTTCCTTAACTAATGCTATGCCCGATATTTATCATATACCAAGAGAGGAACAGGTTGTAGAACTGCAATGAGTGATGAAATGCCAAACATTACCCTGTCTCAGCTTTTCCAATGTGAGGATTCTGCTCCTTTTCTCTGTTTTAGGTCTCTGTAAACTGAAGATCTGTTGACTGACAAAACAAGACATATGTAGGCACCACCGTGGACTAAATAAAGGATTCCTTTATTCCTCGGTCTAAAAAATGTCAGGTATAAGTGAAACATAACTTTAACCTACCATGTGGTTAAAAAATCAAATCTAGTTAGCGCATTGCTTCTGAGCGTAACACAAACTCAACATATAGAAAGTTAAATGACCAATCAGTGTTCCTTCTTGATCATTTCTCTTCTCTCTGGTTTGACACTCGGCCTCTGTTGTTTTAATACATTTGGTTTACTGACTGAATCACAGCAACAACCATCAACACGATCATTTGTTTTCATCAGCACTGAAGGACAAGAGCTGCTGAGCCATTCTTCCCCTTTCAGCAGGAGAATACATGTTTGGTTTGATAAAGGAGAAGCTCTTCACTCAGCAGAGAACAGATGAGACATTTCAGCTGCAGGGTCATCTGAAATGGCCCAGGCTGAGTTCCACGTGTCACCTCGCCACATCTGTGACACTCATGCTGGTGTATATATGTCCATTAGCTGAGATGTGTCCCAGATACCTGGACACTGTGATGAAAATGTTTTCTGATAACAAGAGATAAAGGTATCAGCTTTCAGCGGGATGTGCAGTGGACAGAGTTTCTTTCCACAGATTACTTGCAGTTCTTCAGACTTACTGTGCTGTTTGTCCAGATAATAAAAACTTTCACTGTGTTTTCCTTGCGTGTGACACTGCTGGAAATGATTCAAAAAAGCCTTGTGAAATGAGAAAAGATGGAAACTGAACATGTGACTTGTTATAATAAGGTATTTAGAAAATTGCGAGTCTTCAGACCAGTTTTAATTTAAAAGAGCTTTTTGCACATTTCCATTTTGGCCTCCTGCTGACTTACTGTAGTCTGTATAATTTTCAATCAGCGTGTGGCCAATTACATCCGCACTCTAGATTCTACAGATTGTCATAGGGATGTGCAACTATGTGCTTATCGTATGCTATCCAACTACATTAAATAATGCAATGTACTGAAATAAAATACACACAAATAGACAAATAATTAATTCTCATTATTGATGCTTAAGTGAACTTAATTAGACTTGATTCTACGAGCTCATATAAGGATGAAAAACTTTAGTGTCACTTGTTGTTGACAGTTTACATTCCTGTTGTCCGTTAGACAGTTATTTGGAGAAAATCGGGGAGATGCCCTTTCTCAGGATCAACGTTATGTACTTTTTTCTTCCTTCTGCTATTCTGTGTCTAATTTCTTTGCACCTAACCATATGTTATTTGAAAGGATAAATAAGTACATACAGTATGTTGTGACTTATTAGAACCTTGTCTTTTGGTGTTGCACTGTGTTTACCGATTATTGGAAAGAGAGTGGTGTCTTGTAATTCCACATGGAAACAAAAAACATAGGAACTAACATAAGCTCAGGGAGTAGCAGCTTCTTCTTGCTCTGGGTTTCGCCTCTCAGGCTACATACAGCCTGCCCTAACCCTTTGACTGAGCTTGTTGTGGTCAAATGCAACCTGAGAGGAAGAAGATTATCTATCTATCTATCAAAATACAGTAAGTTACATATGTTTTCTAATTTTGGCAGACTACTAGGTATTACGGAAGGCACAATAATTAGTCGTAATAGGTTAATAGGAATGTTATTCAATAGCATTTTACCAAAGCCCTTACAGACTTGAAGTTAGCTACATTGGATCTAATCTGCAGCTGGTGATGTATAATATATGGTATCTCACAAGCAGCTTGTATAACACTGCGGTCCCCTCAAAATAACACACAGCCATTAATGTCTAAACCGCGGGCAACAAAAGTGAGCACACCCCTCACATTTTTGTAAATATTTGATTCTATCTTTTCATGTTTCAACACTGAAGAAATGACACTTTGCTCCAATGTAAAGTAGTGAGTGTGCAGCTTGTATAACAGTGTAAATCTGCGGTCCCCTCAAAATAACACGTCACACAGCCATTAATGTCTAAACCGCGGGCAACAAAAGTGAGGACACCCCTAAGTGAAATGGCTGTAAACAACATATTCATTAGACACCACCAAAACAAACACAAAGATTTACAAGCTGTGATTATCAAGCACTGCAGAGTGATTGTCGATTGTCAAGGAAATACTTTAATGAGACACATTCTTCTCACTCACACACAGAACATCCACTGCCCTAATGCTGCATTTCACCAGCGGCAAAA